TTATTATTTGTAATCAATTTTATCAATAAATATATATAAATACGAGTATTTTTGTCATTCTCGTATACAAGTAGACTTAATTCTCTTAAAGGAGTACTTAATTCTCTTAAAGGATAACTTGTGTATGTATTTGATTTTACGTTTGAAATTTTCGGAACTATGATTATTGACAAAAAAAAAATTGTGCTTTGGACGTAATGCTTGTTATAAATAATGGCACACTAAACATGGTAGATGAATTATTTTAGGTGACGCAAGCAGAGTTAGATTTCAGTTCTGCATGCATCCCTCACGTGCCTCTAAAATCTGGATTGCTTCTTATATATAATAATGATATTCTGATTAATTAGTCGTCAACTATAATTGAACTCTACATATATTGTTCGTTATCATGTAAAAATTTCTCTTGTCAGTCTAGTTAATTGAACTCTCCAACATGAGTTTAGAAACTTAATCAGTTCATAAGATAATAATACAGCTCAACCCGAATCACTCACAAATCGGAGAAATGTTGACACCGGAATGAGAATAACAATTCATTGAAATTAATCATCCACTAGTGATACAACTAAATGATATGATTGTGACACCATGTTTGATTTTTACTTTTTAGCCTAATCGTAATTTGTCGGTGTTGTTTTGAAAGAGGCTCCTAAACAGCACAGTAAGATGAGACATGGTAGTACTGAGACAAGTAAATTTATTTTTATTTTTTCTGATCGAGAACTTATTTTCTTTTCATAGCTTTTTTAGATTTTTATTATGGGGTGATTTCTAATTAGCACTTTTGACTGTTTTTGAGTTAGATAAACATACTAGGTTATGGCATTACGTAATAGGCATATGTATTTTATTCAATCGTTATTATATATTCTGATTATGTATACATCAATGGAATATTTTAAGAGACATTCATTGGTCAATTTATGTATTTCTTGTTCTAATTTAAATAGTGTTTATTTCTCTCTCTCTCTTAGTTTCCCTCGTGCTTACGCATATCTTTATCCCTCCCTTGCTAGTTGTTAAACATCTTTGAAAAATTCAAGAATGAAAATATTTAATTACATTGATTAAAAGCTACATATTACAATTATTATTATGAATGATTTATCACTTTTCTAACCAAAAGGTTTAATTTATGGTTTCTGCAATAAAACATATATCGGTACTTTTCAGTCCAACATATTTTATAATGAATTTCGCCATCACACGTGAACTTGATTCTTTTACTTCAGAATTTTGATAATTTTTTTTGTATATCTTAAGTATTCAATGACTCCAATGTTATTGCAAATTTGCAATATTTATAGTTTTAAACCCTCAAAGAAATATATGAATATATATATCTAACACACTTGACCTAAATAGATAACAATATAACCAACACTGCAGAGTTATATACTCTTTTTCACAATATGTACTATACATTAAGACACCTGAGCCACGCAAGGTTTGGATTTTGTTTTGCATAAAGGAAAGTGTTTTTACAAACTTTATAGGACATTACCATGTGTTTTAATTGGTATAGCGCTAATTTTGCTATGAAATGAGATTGGACGAAATAATTAACATGTGGGTTCCACGTATTTTTTCTTCTTCATTAAAATGCTAAGAAATTAACACCGAAGAAATTAGTTTGCTCGTTCTCAAATTCTGAAAATCCTCTTGTTTCTAGATAATAATAATAATAATAATAATAATATTTATATACTATCAGAATAAAAAAATTTACATCATCAACTAATAAAAATTATAATTTAAATGATATTTAATATAAATATTATGAAAATTCAATAAAATTATTATAATAAATTGTGATGGAATGATTTTGCACTGTGTATCTACATCATTAAAAAAAGAAGGGAAAAAATAGCGATGTTTTTCGTGTATATAACATGCATATATTAGATATTAGAAGAGGGTAATTAAAAAATTCTGTATTTTTTAATATTTTTATTTCTCGTATTTTAGTTTTTTTAAACATTCTTTTAATATATTATTTAAGTTAGATATTCAAAATTTGTTGATAATTTTTTTCCTAGAAAAGAGATATGTAATGGAGATGAAATTATAGAGTGTTATACCAGAAACATTATACTTTTCCTGAAAATATCAATAACTATCTTTTCGAGAATCTTATGATTGATAATTATCAATACCAATTAATAAAGAGATATTTTGTTCTATATATTTTGTTGGACCATTATTCTCTTAATAATACAAATAAAATATTTATTCTTCTTTTTATATCCTTCTTTATTCCTCATAGAAGTAACCCCACACTTATTACGTGTAGACGTAAGTTACGACATCGTCTCTCTAATGGCTAAAAAAAGCATCGTCTTTCTCATGGCTAACTATCTCTAAGACCGGCTCTTTAATTAATTACAAACCACCCATAATGTATTTTTTATTATTATTATGAAATGACTCTTTTTTCTTAGTAATAATAATAATAAAAATCAACATATGAATAAATGATATATTTTTAATTTTAAACTTTTAAAAAATCATTATCTATCTCACATTTTTCTTCTTTAAGTATATTTTTTAAATAATTATATATACAAATATAGCTAAAATATTATTTTATTATAATAATAAATTTAATTAAAAAACATATTTATATAAAAAAAATGTACATAACATCTCCGAACAACAAAGTAGACTGATCCCTTAGATTATTCACACTTTTGGCACCCAAGTTTAGACTATGTGTTGTACTAGTCTCCTGCGTCCTGTCAATCAAGCGAATTGAGTAGACCCTTCAATTGATGACTAACTGACTCGTCAAATACACCATATGATAAAACTTGGTCGACTTTTAAACCATTCTGCCTATAATTAGTTGAAGACAAGACATCATGATTTACATTATAAACATAATAATATTCATAAATGTTAATATTTATGGGACTATTAATGTTAATAATGATACAACATGATTTCTGAGATTATAGTAAGAAGTAAGAGATCCATGTCCATAATCTTACCTAAGTTTATATGTAAGGGCACCTAGGTCTTAGGGAAAAAAATTATGATCAGTATTTACACATGTTGAATGTTTTGGACTAGGACAATCAATAGGCTTTTCCATAGGGGATTCAACATCGAAACATTTGGTGCCCACCAACTATCCCCTGACCATTAAAACTCTTTGTGACACGATACTCCAGTCTAAAGGATTGTGTACCATATTGATCTCCTAACAAATAAGTAGGTTGATTACTTAGACTCTTTGTGCCTTTGACACTCGAGTTTGAAGCATTGTGTATCATATCGAACCCCCAACAATTGACTAGGCCGATCCCTTAGACTATTCACACCTTTGGCACTCAAACTTGAAGATTTGTGTGTTATATTGGTCTCATGTCGACCAAATGAATTGAATAGACCCTCCAATTGATGACTAATTGACTTGTTAAATACACCACACAACAAAACTTGGTTGACTTTTAATTAAATTGTTTTCCCTACAATTAGTTGAGGACAAGACGTCGTGATTTATAAAATAAGCACAATAACATTCATAAATGTCAATATTTATGGGCTTATTAATGTTAATAAATATACAACGTGATTTGTGGAAAGAAGTAAGGGATATTCTTGTCTATAATATCACCTAAGTTTATATATAAAGACTCTTAAATCTCAGAAAAAGGTTAATATATACACGTTTGGACTAGGATAATCACTATATTTTTCTAGAAGAGACTCCACATGGGAACATATATATACACAAATATAACCATATAAAAATCAATGATATATATATATATATATATATATGTGTGTGTGTGTGTGTGTGTGTGTGTGGAGCAACTCTATGAGAACACTTATTATATTAGACATAAGAAAAAAATAATAACAACCTATAAATTAATTATAAAAAATAAAAATATTAAAAATAAAATTATCATATACCACTATTATCGTGATTATTTCTATTATTGTTATTGTCATAATTGTTATTAGTATCACCACCACTAATATCATTATCTCATCATTGTCACCTCCTCCATCACTATTGTTATCTCTACTATCATCATTGTCATTGTTACTACCATTGTCAATAATGGAGGCAATGGTGGTGATAATGATGTTGCATGATGGGAACACTAGTGGTGCTTATAGATGCGATATTGATAGTGACAACAACGACAATATTATTAGTTGTTCTCATATTATTATATAAATATATATTCTCATAGTCGTCACTATTTATTTATAGTATTAATCAAGGAATTATTCCATTTTATGTATACTTTATTTTTGACAATTTTATCCTTATTATAACTACCTCTCAAATTATTCTTTCTTTAAAAACTACCTTTATAATTACTAGTGAGATTGAGACACTTCGTGCCTCTATTAAAAATAAAATAAAAATAAAATAAAAATAAAAATTAAGTAATAAAAGTATTTGGTCTAATTGATATTATAACTAGTCTATTAGTTTTAGGTTCTTGAATTTGATTAAAAATATATTTTTTCTAATTTTTTAAAATAGAAGGGTATAATAATCAATAAAATGTGGAGATCAATGTGGTTACCAAAAAAGAGTATTCCCTTTATATATTAGTATAGATAATTATCTAAAATAATGCTCAGATTTTATTTTATTTTTTTGAAGGGAGATTTTTTTTATCTATTAAACACTTATTTGTATTTTATTTATATATATTTTTACGAGTTACGAAGTGATCTTTTACACTAATATATATAATATAATGATTTATTGTTTAAAGGTAGATACAATCAAATAAAAGTTGTATAAGGGTATAAGAAGAAAAAATTGGTAAGAAGAAAGAAGTTATAGATATAAAAATAAAAAGAAATAGAATAGAATAAGGAAAGGTGGTAAAATGAAATGGGTGTGAAAAAAATAAAAACTCAGATGCATGTTGAGAGATTAAATAATAATAGTTGTTTGGAAGTAAAGAATAAAGAGGCAAAGTTGGAATTTGAAATAAAGAAAATGCAAAGTTGATAAAAACCAAGTCCAAAAACAATATAGAGTTGCAAGTTGATAATCCACTTGCAAGTTGCAACCCATGCCTGCGTAATCTTCTTTCCTTTGCCCTTGCAAGGGATCAATAACAACAACAACCACCCTTGTAATTTCTACTCTCCCATTTCTCTCTCTACTCATTCACCTCCAAAAGCAAGAAAAAGAACAAAGAGCTAACCCAACCCCTTCAACAACAAAACTAATGCAACTTGTACTACAAAAATATTAACACTCTTGCCGTCTCCAACACCCTCTCATATATATGCTTTTGCTTATTCCACATCAACATTTCATACACATATCAATTATCAACGGAGTGAAACCTAACTAAGAGAGATATTTTTAGTTCTTCTCATTATCATTATATAATTATATATATATTTTTTTTAAAAATATGCCTTCTTCTCTTCAGTTGGATAGGTTCAATCCTATCACCCACGCCGCCACCACCGCCATAGCCAACGGCGTAAACTGCCCCAAGCAGCCTCAAGCGCCACCTCCCTCGGTGGCGCGTCGCCTCGTGCTGCCCCTCGCGGTCTCCGACGCGGCGGCGCGCCACCACGCGCACGTTGTGGCACCGAACCAGTGCTGCTCCGTGGTGACGCAGCACGTCGACGCCCCCGTGGCCGCCGTGTGGGCGGTGGTGCGGCGCTTCGACCACCCGCAGGGCTACAAGAACTTCGTGAAGAGCTGCCACGTCATCACCGGCGACGGCATTTGCGTGGGCGCCGTCCGCGAGGTGCGCGTGGTGTCGGGGCTCCCCGCCGAGTCGAGCACCGAGCGCCTCGAGATCCTCGACGACGAGCGGCACGTCATCAGCTTCAGCGTCGTCGGCGGCGACCACCGCCTCAGGAACTACCGGTCGGTGACGACGCTCCACGCTTCCGGGAATGGGACACGTGTCGTGGAGTCGTACGTCGTTGACGTACCGCAGGGTAACACTAAGGAGGAAACGTGCGTGTTTGTGGACACCATCGTACGTTGTAACTTGCAGTCTCTGGCTCAGATCGCTGAGAACAGGATCCGAAGTTGTGAACATGAAAACTCTGGACAACAACACTGTTAACGAGTTCATTCATTTACTATCTATTTTTCATTTTTTTTTATTTAAGATTTAATACGGGTTGTGTCTTCCCTCTTCCGGTTTTTTTGTTTCAAATTCGGGTTCGGATCTTGCTTCAAGCCCGTATTTGGAATTCATATCATGGATGTATTGTAGGGTTTTTCGGATGGCAATGGTTGAAATGGAATCAATTAATATGATATATGTATATTCATATATGATATATGTTCATATAAATATGAATGATTAAATCATGTACTTCTATTTTCTTTTTTTCTTTTTTCGTTCTACCTAGCTCTCTCATCGTGGATGAATTATTTCTTGTGTTCTATTTGCATTGAACTTCGCATCCATGACCATGGTGGACTTTAATTAATTCAACAAGGTAAATAATCATGAATTAACTAATTAGTTTGTTTTCGTGTTTACTACAGTACGTATTTTCTCGAGATATGGAAAATTGACGAACTGACAGGTTAGATAAATATTTTATATTTTATTTTATTTTAATTATATTTGAAGGGGAGGCGATACTGCGAGAATACACACACTTGAGCTGGCACTCCATTGCACTTTTCTTAGATTTTGATTTTGTAGCATTATTTTTGTTAATGGTGTATTAATTATAAGCTCCTATCTTGTGATGATCGCAAGGGAAAACAATGGGCTACTTAATATTGAGTTTTCATATTACTTATAAGCTATTAAATATCTTGTGATGATGGCTTGGGAAAACAATGGGCTAGTTAATCTTCAATTCTCATATTCAAATCCCATTAATTAGGGTCATGCATATGCGTGATGGTTGATTGAAATTTGAAAATAGAGAGATTTGCTAAACTATCTTCCTTAAGTAGAAATATTTACCTTCAATATAAATGTTACAATCCAAATCATTAAAAGATAAGAGTATATGAATTTTGTATGAACAATACATGAAAAGAAAACTATCTAAAGGAAGTATATATTGTGGAAACTTGAGCATCTATAATCTATAAGTAGAAATTAAAGAGTGATAAGGATAAAATAAATGTAAATGTACGTTAAGATGTCACCTAAATCAACCCCTTGTGATCACCAAAATATAAGAGTATTTAAAGTTATAAACAAGTACGAAAGATATAATATGAATATATTATAATATAATATTTTGAATAAATGGATAAGTCTTACCAGATAATTCTGTAAAAAAAAATAAGTTTTACTAGATAATCTGCAGGGTATCTACTCTACATTTGGGATGTATTGGGAAAATTCTGAGTTGTTAAATTCTCCTTCCTTTGACAAGCATGAAGCATGTTATTGTTCTGCTAGTTCTGTTGCAGCACCCACTTTCCTTTAAAAAAAATTTAAATGATTTTAAAAGTTTTTCATTCTCTTTGCAGTTTTGTGAACCTCACTCTCTTTGGAAAGAAGACAAATCATATATCATTACAAAACACCTCAATTCTCGAGTCCTTCAATTTGGATAAATTACACTCGATATCTTTCAAGTTTACTATTTTAAAATAATATCAAAATTATTTAGATTTATTCTAAAAAGGTTATTCACTATTAAAAAAAATATTTAAGATAATATTAAAAAATATTGTTAAAATTTATTATATAAAAAAATAATATTCATCTTATAAATCAGTTTTGTATAGTTAATTTAGGTTTAAACTCACTATTCTAAAAGAATATACTACAAATTATCTAATATTAAAAAAAATGTATTCAAGATGTTATTAAAAAATATTGTTCAAACTTATCATATAAGAAAATAATATTCATCTTACAAATTAATTTTGTAAGATTAAATTAAATGCAAACTTATAATTATAAGAGGATGTAGTACAAATCATCCAATATTAAAAAAAATGTATTAAGATGTATTAAAAAAAACGTCTAAAGGAAATTAATTTTTAAAGGAAAGTACTATATCCAACTTCAAAGATCGTACTTCAAATTAACTTTTAAATTTCATTAATATAAATGATAAAGTTTAATTTATACAATATTACTTACCTCTTCATATCATCCCATCGCCAGATGAGGATTCTAAGCATTCCTACTTAAATCAAGAAAACCAGTGTTATACATGAAGGGTTAATTAACCATAGTAAGTATGTATATACGTTAAAAAAAAGAATCGAGAAAAAAAATGTGTAACCACGTTGATTTGGCCTGAAACTGGGTTTTAAAAGAACAAGAGTTTAAAGCAGAAATTATTCTAATTATAGTTTGGAAAGTAATTATTTTTAAAGTCAACAATGTTATTAGTGTATTCTAATTAAATTCAAATAATAATGTAATGCTATTTGAATATTTATTGAAAAGGGATTTAAAAGAGCATTAATACATTATTATTACGAAGAGAGGAAGTCCAAGGAAGCAACTGAATTCAAACATGTACATCACAATTAAATCTATTAGCAAATTGATACTTTCAATTAATATTCTCCATTTGGCGTGATTGATCATCATTTTGTTAGGCATTTTTTATTGTTCTAAACCAAATGCAATCACCATTCGTCAGAATGCATATAATAGCCGCCGGATAAACCGCTGAAAAGTTAGAATAGTAACTGCCACACAAGACCGTGGATGTGTAATAAATCACTGAAAAGTTTGCGCGAATATAGTTCACCAACTCATAAGGTAAAGTGTAATGTTCGCAATAATTCTTATCAAGTTGATTCAGCATTCAGAAAACAAATTACTCCTATATTTCAATACTTTGAAATAATTTCTATATCGTTCAGAGATCAACGTTTATCACAATTTGTTCCTGCTTAGAGCACAACCAAGTTGCTGTTTTTCACGTGTTTCTATATGCCTCAATGTTTGTGGTCAAAAATGACCAAAGTTTCATGGAAACAATATGCCCCAGCTTGAATTTCCCTGCTTCTAAACGAGAAATGCAAGTTTCACTATCTCTAACACTCTTTATTAATATTATTTTATATTTTTATTATCGATCGAGAATTACAAGTTTTAATAAGTCTTACCATTAAATTAAGATAAATTCATTAAATATGATATATGGCCTATCAAACTTATAATTTTCAATAAATTTAAACGAATAAAAAATATGCTAGCATTTAAAATTATAATAACTAAAATACATGAACATATAATATATATATATATATATATATATATATTAATGTTTTAAAATTATAAAATTGTTAACCAATTTAAATTACAAATTTAAAACATTATATAAAAAATTTAAAATTATTAGATTTTTAATGAGAGGGACTAAAATCATACACTTATGATACTTAAAGAATTAAAATTGTTGAATTAAAATTTGAGCAATCAAAATCATATAATTATTGAAGGACTAAAATTTCAAAGACTAACATTGCACAAGTACAATACTAGAGACCAAAAAATTATTTAAGTATAAATATTTTAATTATCATTTATTGTAAGATGCATGTTTTTAGCTATAAAAATGATATAATTCTAGAGGAATGAATAACCAAAGAAATATTGAAAGGAATAAGAAAAGACACCACATCACACAAAGCAAATAACATGGTTTCCATCAATGGAGAGGGTGAATTGGTGCCCAATGAAGCATATTTCACTTTAAAGATGTTTAAATTGACTTTACTTGTTTACTTTATATATAAGTTTTATAAAATTTAAAGATATTTTTTCTAATAATATGCATTTCTTCCAATATTTTCTTTCTAAGTATGTATACGTATTATAGCGTATATTTGAAAGCCACTACTGGTACTTCTAATACAGCCAGGAACAACTGAATCACGAATTAAGTAACAATCACAGAAAGTTTGAGACGTGCGAAATTGCACTGATCGATATTACGGGTTTATTCTCGTGTACAAATATATACTAGGCTTATCAGTCATCTTAACTTAAAGTCGAGGTACGTAGTAGAATAACAAAAGAAAAAATCATGTACCCAAGAAAGGGAGAGGGGAATATATAAAGTTCAAGGAAAAATAAAGAAAATAATGGATTAGCGTGTAGGATGAGATTTTTTAATTGAATTAAATTAAAATAAAACTGATTTCTTATATAAAATATATATAAAACTCAAAAAAAATTTGATTTCTTATATAAAATTTTAGCAATTTAATTTAAAAACAAAATTTAATTAAAATAGTATGAGATTAAACTTCTAAACTAGCTCAAATAACACCACACCCAACCAGAAATGTTATAGTAGTATACTGAGTAATTAATTAACTACCAGAAAGTTTAAACATCTTCTTTGAAAAGTAAATCAATAATTAGGCAAAGAAAGAGAAGCTTATGATTTTCTCTTTTTTCCGAAGGTGGAAATCGGTGAAACGGTGGGCACTGGCTTTTGCAAGTTGCTCTTTGTTTTTTTTTGCTTTCTTTCCGAAATTAACAAGTTGCTCTGAAGCTTCTATTAATTTTGTCGGGCCCTAAATTGTACTGCTTATGTACGTATATTAATTAGTTAAGAAAGGATAGCTGAAACCCTGATACTGGAAAAACGTATTTTCTTTTATAAAAAAAAATGAGATTTCTCATTGATAGCCATGCACGTAATATGAAACGTTTAATATTAACTAATAGATCATATCATATTTATATCTATATTTACAGATTACGACGTCATAATAAATAATTTTGTAGAATCAACCTCTTAAATGCAACTTGCTATGGAGGAACTCAACTTGTTCGGCAGACAATGCCAAGTTGTTATTCTTTGCCGTATCTTATTATATTCTCTCTCTTTATGCGTTCATAAATTGTTATATATATAATATATTAATATTAATATATATATAATTATAAAAATGTGAGTTGTAGGTTGGAAGTGATGGATGGAATTGCAACTTGGCATGCAAGTGGGTGTCAAAGTAAATTTTTAATGTTTGTTCGACCTTACCTTTGTTTACACTGTTAGAAGAATAGTGTCCCATGAATCATCCATTTTACTACACAAGACTTGGTCAAATTACCAATGATTCATCCATATTAACTAATCACACACTATTTCAATTACTGATGAAAAGATTCCTCTTTCGCCTTTCTCCATTCTTATCTCTCTTTATGACTGTGATATTGGAATTGAGAGATGGAAGATATTGTTGTTAGATCAAAAGCCTAGTCTTAGGTCAAAAGTTACAGTTTTTATGAATGGTGTAATTTTTATTTTTATTTTTTAAAGTTTATAAATTTAGTTACGACTCCACAGCAAAAGCATATAATTTATTGATTTTGTTTCAACCATACTTGAGCTCTATCAAGACTAAATTTACTC